TAGAATGACTGCTCGTGACACGGTGTCAATTTTTGCAGACTTGACTAATTCTGTAAAGTAACAAAAGCTAAGAAATATGTTATCGAATCTACCAGTAATAAATGCATATTAAGAAGTGAATTAATAGCAAAATTCCATGTGATTTACAGAACAATTTGCCATCTCTGTCGGACCAAGTATTTTACAAGAATCTCGCGTCGTTGGAATACAGGCACAGCAGAAACTCATAAAACCGGTTCATGCTTTTAATAAATCGACGTGCANGCCTCATGATTCAGCATCTCCATCGGATCAAGGTACTTTTCGATTGTCTCGAAACTTTGGAGTGCAAGTGCAGCTAAAACCTCACGTTCGTAGTAAATATATTTTGTGTAATCCCGATGTTGCATCTGTACAATGCAATCAACAATGTGAATGTGCAAAGCATTTGCCAAANGAAGTCACATCAAAATCAGAAACTTTGAGTTTCTCTGATACTGCGAGTTCAATCGCATTATCGTGTTCAACAAATCCGTCAAGCGGATTTGAGATATTATCTTTTTCAAGTGGAAATGTCATTTCCTCAAGCTGCAGCAATGTTGTGGAAGAAAAAATTGAAAGAAGCAGCTGCAAAATTGATTCGATATTTTATTAGTGTTAGTGTTGATTTAAAGCAGTATATTGGTATAAGCAAGGAATGGATTTGGATTGTTGACTTTTTACAATCTTCGATTGGATGTTCCACTGACGACATTTTTTTGACATTGATGAAAATACGAACGCCCGACACATTCAATAGATTAGGCGATTATTTTGGATTGTCAACATCACAGGCTAGCAAAATATTACAGAAAACAGTAAAACATTTAGCTGATTACTTGAAAACTCTCGTTTTTTGTTCAGAATCGGAAGTGATTATAAAGAATTTGCCTATTGCATTTCGTGCATACTATAGTCATGTTCGTATTATAGTTGATGTTTTTAAGGTCTATATCGAAACACCAACCAATCCAATGCATCAAGTATTACCATGGTCGCAGTACAATCATAATAATACTGCAAAATTTTTGATAAGTTGCACTCTTGACGGATTTGTCTCTTTCATGTCTCGTGGCTACGGAGGCCGAACGAGCGATATTATACTTTTCAAGGAGAGTAAAATAATGGATATTATTCCTGAAAAAAGTGGTGTAATGGCAGACAGAGGATTCAAAGAGATTCAAACTATTTTACAGAAAAAAAAAAGTGAGTTGATTCGTCCTCCTTCGGTTTCTAGTGCCACTAAATTTTCTAAGACGGATGTATTGAAAACAAAAAGCGTGGCAAGTTTAAGGATTCACATTGAAAGAATCATACAAAGGGTTCAAGAGTACAAAATGTTGTCGCCGTATGCTTGTGTGGATTGGAACTTGTTGCCATATATCGATGATATAGCAATAATTGTAGCAGAGCTGGTGAATTTGCAGAAACCAATCATAAAAAAATAATGTGTATTTTGCGTGATATTTGTGCTGTCATCTAAAAAAGGCGAAGCTTACGTACATGTATTTGAACATTGAAGGAGCGTAATAAAATTTGAGACTAAAAGTTGTCATTTTTTTAAATATGTATTTTTTCTTGAAACATTTTAACCCTTTCGGCACGAGCGCTCTTTCCGCCGCGACACTCCCGCTGTATGAGATGCCTCGCCAAAAACGCGCACATAGCACATGGTCAGTCCTCCTTTGTGTGAAGACTTTCCTAACCTTATATATGATCTATGCTTAATAAAA